GTGTACTGGTGGTGAGGTTAATCGTCATGCGACGTTAAAACGTTGCAGAAATGTATATTAAACGAGAGACGTCACATGATGAGTGCCGTTCTCGTTCTATATAAATTGTTTTTATATTGGTGTCATGTAAGTTGTTTACGATTTTTAGGGATCAGGATCCTCTCCTGAGCAGATGGAGAGGATCCTCCTGACCAGACCCATCGGGCTGTTCATTTTTTATCCAACAGTTACAAACAGGAGGCCCCTCTAAAAGTTATAATAATTATAGCCGTTGGATAAAAAATGAACGGCCCGATGGGCTTGGTCAGGAGGATCCTCTCCATCTGCTCAGGAGAGGATCCTGATCCGATTTTTAGATCCAAATAAAACAAGAAAAAAAATTGTGCCTAAGTGTATAGTTTATTAGTATTATTCTTTAATTCTAAGTGAGAGAATTTATATTCGAATTTTATAAATAGCGAGTTAGAAACTAATTCAAATAAATAAATAGTGCATTTTTGCTCCCCACCCTCAAATGAGAGTTCAAATCTTTTGCACCCAATTTTTTTGTGGCCTAAATTATAGTATTTTAACCTTCTAGATGGGAAATGACTAAACTGCCCCTCATGGTGTATGTAGAGTGTAGACATCTGTTGACTTAGTAGTCGGGACACATGTGACATTTGCATTCATCACTACGCATGGGGTTAAGCAGAACAAGATTTATGTTGTAAAATCGACTGTGGGTGCAGTGGAATAAATGAAACAAGACACAAAATTTACGAGGTTCCTCTACAGTCAGTGTGACTGGAGTACGTCCTCGGGGCAGCAGTGGTGCTTTCATTATAATTTAGAATAATAGGAGTACAAAGATAACTCTCTCTATTATCTCCTCTCATCTTCCTCTATTCACTCTCTTCCTCTTCTTTCTCTCTCTTCCTCTTCCTTCCTTCCTCTCTTTCTTTCCCGTGAACCCTTCACATCTATCTATCCCTTTGTTATGTTTCATAAGGCTTGTTTTTATACAAGTAAATCACATGCTAAATAGTGGAAGGGCAACTTGCCCATTATTTGAGTGGACATCCATTTCTACAACACTCCCCCTTGGATGGCTACAAGTCTTCGATTGACTCGTTAAAATCTTGATCTGTTTTAGATGCTCCCCCTGATGAGTATCTCCCCCTGATTTCAAATCATTTAGGTTGATCGTTGATTGTTCTGCTTTAGTCTCTTAGTAAGAAGAGTTGCTGAAAGAGGTGCTTTACTTGTTAACTTTCCACAGGCTTTTTCTTGAACTGAGTTGTAGGACTTTCTGCTAGACTAGTATCGAAGATCTGAATTTACTCCTTTTATCTGGAGTGGAATTTGATTCAAAAGTGGTGGACACTTGATCTTGAATCGGACTTGTGATTTCTTCAAGGACCTTCGAGGATTGATCTTGAATGAAATTGGACCATGAGGAGCTTCATGTGGCAAGTGATCTTCAGTTTTGTTAGGGATGAATCAGCACGCGTTTGTTGCGCTTGTCTCCACATGCTTCAATGTATCATTTTCACTTTCCTTACTTGCTCCCCTTGCTTAAGTAGTATTTTCCTTGCTTTTCCCCCATGCATGTGTGGCATCTTCTCTTGTAGGATTTGTCCCCTGATGCAGGAGAGGAATGCAAACCCTTGCATTTGAATGGTTCATCACTTCTTGGTGACTGGAGACCCAGCTCCAACCGTTAAAGATGACTACTCGAGAGCAACACTAGGTAAGCAATCAGGAAAGGTTCCAGGCAGTCGGTTCCTTACCGGGAGTTTGAGTGGAAGTTCCGACATATTGCTTTCTTTATCCTTGTCTTCGTAGGCAAGAACAAGGACAAATGAAATGACAGGGAGATTGCATGATATGAGATAATCTTGCTCTGGTCCCTGAAGATATGTGATAATCTTGCTCTGGTGTGACATGTTTGAAGAGGTATTCTCGGAGAGGAAGAAAACTGAGTATTTCGAAATACTATGTTGAAGATGCATTCTCGGAGATGAGGAAGAGTTAGGTATTCTTGCAGTGTTGCGGGTCTGCCTTGTTATGGAGAACAGAGGTCGACATATATAGAGATTTCTCAATAGCAAGTGGTGGTGCTGTGCTTTTACTCTTGTCAGCAACTGTGGTGTAAATAGAACAGTAAGATTTACGCGTTTTCAACTTTGTCAGAGATCTTTGACAAAGTTGCACGCGATATCTGAAAAGCTGAGATTACGTCTGAAAAATGCCAACGAATTTTATTCAGGAAAATCTGGCTTTTGAAATTCGGAGAGCGGTGACTCATCGATCTTTGAACAAGTGGCTCTGCTGCCTCTTCTTTTATAGAGACATCAATTGTGTTCAAGAGTATGCTCAGAAAGTTGCTGCCTGAGAAATTTCCACCTTCTTGCACTTCTGAAATTTTATTTGACCTCTGTTTTTCCTTCATCATTTCTGAAAAATGACTTGCCCATCTAACATTTGCTTAGATTTGAGTCTTAGGAGTGATACAGACGAGCAGCGTCAAGATAATATATGGCGCCCGTCCTTCTTATCTTCTAATGGTCCTCTTACGGTTGGGGACTCTATGATGAAGAATAACATAACCGCTACTGTGGTAGCTAGGAATCTTCTCACTCCAAGGGATAACAAGATCCTTTCAGAACGGTCTGAAGAGTCGGCCGTTCAAGACTCCTTGGCTCTCAGTGTTCAGTGTGCTGGCTCTGTGTCCAATATGGGCCAACGCCTACTTGCTCAAACTCGCCAAGTTGAATCATTGATGGCGGAGGTGGCAAGTCTTAAACAAGAGATCAGAGGGCTCAAGCACGAGAATAGGGTGTTACACGTGCTTGCAAATAGTTACTCTACGAGCATGAAAAGAAAGCTCGTCCAACTGCAGGAATCCGAAAGTCGGATTCAAAGTGATCACCAGAGGTTCGTTGCTAGATTCCGAAAGCAACTGATGCCTTCCCCTTCTGGTGTTTTGCTAAGTACTGGGGTGCCACATGATCAATCTCCAGTGCCTCCCCCTTCTGGGGTACTTCCGAGTACTGAGGCTTCACATGAGCAACCTTTGTGAAGGCTCCATCCTGTTTGTTTGTTTTTTAACTCATGTGTATGTATATATCTGTAATTTCTTGGAGATATTAATAAATAAGCTTTATTTCATTCAATGTATTGTGCCAAATACAATAAAGCATATACTTCACTAAGATGTGGTGCTTCTGGACCAAATATTAATTTATCTTTACCCTCACGAAGATAAATGATTATTCTTAGTGTCTTCATCATATGAGTATTCAACTCATAATCTTCAATCCATATGGTTCTTTTAATATCATAAATATCATGGATAAGATTCGTGTTGGTAGATTGTTCGATCTGCAGCTCGAGACAATAATTCCTTCAACACTTTATAATTTTTTCTAGACTCTTCAGGAGTCCCAATTTAATATCATCGACTCTTCAAGAGTTATAATTTAATGTCATTGACTCTTGCAAGAGATTTTAGTATGTTGCAACAATATCATAATGATAGTACTCACTAAGGTAATTTATATCATCAATTGGTATTGAGTACATATTTTATGTTTTACCCTTCAGAGGCTTACTTCAAGCAATTTGAATCCTTCAAGGGTTTTCTACACTTCATGACACATTTTCCTTTGGAATTTATACAGAGCAATTTGCTCCCATGTATACTTGAGGGATTTACTTATGGAGATATAATGTGGGCGACTCACAACCCTTCGTATATAATTCTCCATTCATATGAACTCGTTTACAACCTTGTGTCATATCATGTAAGTGTATTACACTATATTACAAATGCCCATATATAACCTCCTTGGTTTAACATCCTTTGGCTATTTGTATTGTATTCAAATATATATAGGTTCATTTGCCCACGTTCTTACAAAATTTGTAATGGAATTGCCTTTCTCCATTTTGGCCAATAATTTTTCTTTTGTCGACGAACAAAAGAACGTGACTCAATATTAACACAGCTCATTGATGAATTTAGTAGGTACTTGTAAAAACCAAAATTACCATTGGTTATCATCAATCCGTGATCCCATATTCTCATGTGCATGCGCATGCATAAAAGCTTTTCATTTCTTTGGATATCCATTGCCTCTTCAAGGGCATTACACTATCTCTTCCAGGATAGTCATAGTTTAGAGAATGCGGATCATAACCTCTTCTTGAGCGTTATAGAGCTTGGATTTTAATCTCCACTTCCAAGAGTTGAGTCATTTAGAACCTATACGTCAATCATGCTTCATGCATGAGACATCAATATTCTCATATCTGTGGATTGTCCTATCTGGGACGTGTATCCACGCGGCGACTGTCATGCTTCTGGCATGCAACAGTTATGCTTCGGGAATGCAATAGTTCAGTAGTGCCATATTATTCTTCTTTCGAATAACTGAACCTTTTGAGTCTAAAAATCTGCCACGCTTTAGGCGTGCAACAGATAAATCATTTACTGTCTCATTATTTTATCCAACAGAGACATCAATTCTTGTAGGCACATTTGCAGTAAGTATATATGATTTCATCACTTTCGTTGCATCATTCAATTATTCATATTTCATTTTCTTATTGATTGCTTCGTGAATCAAAATAAGACAAATTCTCTTCGTTCTTCTGGAACGGTCTTTTCTCATCATTCTTTTGGAATGATATTTTCTCATCGTTCTTCTGGAACAATATTATTTTCTCCCCCTAATGGCAGGAAAATTGTCTTATCAAAATGACAGTCCGCAAACCATGCGGTAAACATATCCCCAATCAAGAATTCCAAATATTGAATGATAGATGGTGTTCAACATCAATGCCTAATCTGCAATGATGCCTCATTTCAGTACGTTGTGGCAGTCTTACATGCACATAGACAACACAACCAAAAACTCGTAAATGTATAATGTTTGGTTGGTTCCAAACCCGAGTTGTACTGAGAAGTATTGATGGTCGGTAACATGTCTCAACCGAATTAATAATGCATCATGTAAAGTTTACATGTCCCCATGTAGAAAATTGGCAATTTCGTTTTCATGAGCAGAGCGCGGGAAATCAATTTCATTCGCTTAATAAAGGCTTCTGCTAAACCATTTTGAGTATGGACATAAGGAACTTCTGGTCCTTATTTAATAGTCTGTAAACTAAGACTCTTATGGCTTTTATTACAATTAAGTTAAGGCACTGCGGCACTTCAAACTTACGGTACTCATCTAGGAACTTCATGTCCTGATCTTCAGGATCAAGGGACTTCATGCCAGATCCTTTTGTATGATGGAACTTCGGGTCCAATCATTTTATATGATGAGGATCAAGAAACTGCAGGTTCTGATCTGATCAAGGAACTTCAGGTCCTGTATATATTCATAGTAACAAAAGATAAGTACAATAAATAAATTAAAGTACTAGGCGGTAATTCCAACCATAGTAAATAAATTGCATTTAAGTAAATAAAGCTTGTGACAAGGGCTTTAATTCAGCACCATTCACATAAATCAAAACTTAAAGCAGTAGGTGGTAAAACCGTCCATGATAAATAAATTGCTTTAAAGTAAATAGAACTTGTGACATGGGCTTTAAACCAACACCATGCACATAAATATCAAAGCTTTAAAGCAAAGGGTAATAATGCTACCCACTGAAAATAAATTGCTTTAAATAAATAGAGCTTGTGAAAGTGTTTTAAGCCAACACCATTCACATAAATAAATATATATTTTCGTTTCTTATTCATTCACATGGTGCCGTGTACCATCCAATAATATTTGTTCTTTTCTCCTTTTGTGACAACATCATGCACCAAAAATCCACCTTTCCAATTTATTTATTTATTTATTTATTTTTCAGAATGGTGCAACTCACTTCCAAAACCTTTTTGTTTTCTTTAAATAGTCCAACCGACACACCATCCATTTGCTCCCTTTTTCAATTTATATATGTATATTTTTCTTTCTTTCCAACTACCCAAAATAATCACACTTTTCTTTGTCTGCCACTTATAAGAAGATCAAACCGTTAGATTTAACTCAAAATTTAGTATGATATGGATAAGAAGATACCAAACAACTTTCGTGAAGAAACAGTTTCAAGCTGAGCTTCTGAAAATGAAGGTTTGGTACTCATAAGATGGCTGTCCAGTTTTCTGCGGAAATGGAAGCTGAGTTGAAGTTTCAGTCATCTACGACGATCGCACCGTTGACAATTTCTGAAATTTGGATATGTTCTAGGTACTAGGCGGACAAACAACTTTCAAGAAGAAAGTATTTCAATCGGATGTCAGGAAGTTGGAGTTCAGTGGCTATTTACATGGCTGCCAAATTTTCTGCGGATTTTGAGTCTGTAGTATTATTTCTAAGATATGGAATGATTTAACCGTTGGATGGTTCTGGAATTTTGGTATGTTATGGGAGAGAGGATAAGGAACAACTTTTATGAAGGAATGGTTTCTGTATGAGCACTGGAAGTTGAAGTTTCAAATCTCATATGATCGTCGGATTTTCTGCCAATAATAATGACAATACTTATATAACCACATGTATATTTACTTTAAGAAAATTAGTCATTTAGAGATATGAGAATGAAATGAAAAGATTTTCTTATCTGTGAGATTCCAGCCGATAGATGTGAGAGGTAAGTAGTGCTTTCCACCGACATGAGAGCTTCTCGTGCTGATAACGTGTTGTAAAATCGACTGTGGGTGCAGTGGAATAAATGAAACAAGACACAAAATTTACGAGGTTCCTCTACAGTCAGTGTGACTGGAGTACGTCCTCGGGGCAGCAGTGGTGCTTTCATTATAATTTAGAATAATAGGAGTACAAAGATAACTCTCTCTATTATCTCCTCTCATCTTCCTCTATTCTCTCTCTTCCTCTTCTTTCTCTCTCTTCCTCTTCCTTCCTTCCTCTCTTTCTTTCCCGTGAACCCTTCACATCTATCTATCCCTTTGTTGTGTTTCATAAGGCTTGTTTTTATACAAGTAAATCACATGCTAAATAGTGGAAGGGCAACTTGCCCATTATTTGAGTGGACATCCATTTCTACAACAATTTAGACTTAAAATGAGTTTTATGAAACTTTAAAGGCAATGGTATTTTTAGTAATTTCGTCCGTTTGCTGGACAATGTTTTATTTTAAATTGTTTTGGGGTCCATGGGACCCACCCTCCCTTCTTCTTCCCCGGGCTCTCCCTCTCATTTTGGGAGGAGAACACATTCAAGAACTTTCGGGAGAGGCAACTCTCTCCCTTTCGTTCTCGGTAAGCCGAGAATAATGGGTGGCAATCCCATCGGCGAGAGCAGCAAAGACCACCGTCCCCACTTCCACAGCCCAGCAAGTCCAATCACCCCAGTGTTTGTGGAAACGGAAAGCCAAGCTTCGGACCGAGACCTCCGACGGCGATCGTGACATTTGGACGGGTTCCTCGTCGTTCGAGGCGTAAGTAAGACTAAAACTCCTTCTAATTGCTCAGTATCATTGATTAGGACTAAATTTTCATGTAAAAATTATGAATTTTTTGTGCTGTTTCGAGGTAACTAGCAAAAATGCATGCGCTCTGTTGTGGGTTTAACACACTCGTATCTAAATTATTCAAAAACCAATCAAATAAACATCTTTCCATTTGCTACCAAAAACCAACTTTAGCAAAGAAGTCCAATGCATTTGTAAACGGTCAAAATTATAAATCACATAATGAATGTAAAAATATATGAAATATTCATATATTTTTATTCATGTTGGTTTATAATTTACTGGTAAAGCAATATTTACTTCATTAGAAATTTAGAGTTTACACCGTATTTCGCTAAAATTTTGAACAAAATGGGGAGCTCTTAGAGCATTTTAATAATCATTTTAGTTTTTAAAAAATAAAAAATAAAAAATAAAAAATAAAAAATAAAAAATAAAAAATAAAAATAAAAACGAAATAGTTACCAAATCGCCAATTAAATTTATAATTAGACCATTTGGATTACAAGTTTGAGCATGTCAAAATAATAAGAGAACTCAAATTCATCACGAGTTTGACTTTTTTTTTTCTTTTGTGAAAAGAATTGAAATGATAATATTCTTTTCAATCAATAGATTATTATAAACCCTAATTCCCAAACCAACAATAATCCTACCCCATTAGAATGTTAATAGTAGGGCTATTTTAAGGGCTTGTTCAAAGGTGCTTCTCAAATGTTTGAATGCTCTTTTAAATAAAATAATTTTGGGTTTTAAAAACACTTGAAATGATTCTTGCACTGCAAGAAGCACTTCAACTACTCTTTTAGAATCCACTTATAATTTTATTAAAAATTAATTCTAAAAAAAATTTCACCAAAAAAAATTTCAATCATTTTATAATCACGAGCCCTTACTTTTCTTTGTGGAGTTTTGCAACTTTATTGCATACAAGCATTTCCTTTGGTTTTAATTTCTTATTACAACGACATTTATTAATTAATAGATATCGACAAATAGAAAGAGTGAGAGGAGGAGTTGGCACATAAAAGGAGCATGAGGGGGGATGGCCAATTCCTCATCAATATCTACAACAAGACAACAAATTCAGTACAATTACAATATATATCAAACATGTCCGCATAATTCAACCAATTTTGGCCGCTGCAGCTTAACCAAATACTAAACCCATATGTAGAAGTGTTTTTAAAATAATTGAAACTGTTTTTGAGAAAAATATTTTGGGTTTCAAAAACACTTGAAATGCTTCATACAAGAAGCACCAATTACGTGCTCTTTGCGGGCAACACTTTATGTAACATCCTATATCGCTCAGGAGAGTGGATCATGTAAGCTTTATATGTATATTATCATCTCTACCTAGCACGAGGCCTTTTGGGAGCTCATTGACTTCGGGTTTCATCGGAACTCTGAAGTTAAGCGGGTTTGCACGAGAGCAATCCCATGATGGGTGACTCACTAGGAAGTTCTCGTCTGAGTTCCCAGAAACAAAACCGTAAGGGCGTGGTCGCGGCCCAAAGTAGACAATATCGTGCTACGGCGGAGTCGAGTCGGGATGTGGTGGGGGCCCGGGCCGGGATGTGACAATTTGGTATCAGAGTCAATCCCTGGTCGGAAGTGTGCCGAAAAGGAAATTGGGCCCCTAAGGGGGGTGGATTGTAATATCCCACATCGCCTAGGTGAGTGGATCTTGTAAGCCTTATATATATATATTCTCATTTCTACCTAGCACGAGGGCTTTTGGGAGCTCCAAATTCCGAAGTTAAGCGAATTTGTGCAAGAACAATCCTATGATGAGTGACCTACTGGGAAGTTCTCGTCTGAGTTCCCAGAAACAAAACCATGACGACGTGGTTGGGGCCCAAAGCGAACAATATCGTGTTACGGTGGAGTTGAGCCCGGGATGTGGTGGAGCCCGGGTCGGGATGTGACACTTTAAATGATTTTTCTAAATTTACTTGCATTTTAATTAAGGATTGGCCTCTAAAAAAACATTTTTCTTAAAAAAACATTTCAAATGTTTTAAAACCATTTCCAAACTAGCCCTAAACAGTCAAATCATCAAAATTCATAATATTTTGGGCCCACAGGGTGTCCCTTATTTATGAGTCCCCATATGATCACACATACAAACGACATTGAGCAAGGAAAGATTGAACTCGGAACATTGGCCGGAAGTGAAAATGCTCTTTACCAAGAACAAAGAGCTACAAGCTTTTTGTTCTTAAATCTTACCAACAATTTATTCAAACCGTTAACAAAAATACTAGTTAATTATACAACAACAAAGAGCTTGAACTTATTAAGTAGAGTCTGCCGTATACATCCTAAAATGCCAATGAGCTCGATTTTGAGTCAAGTTTTCCATTAGCTCTAAGTATTCCATGTATTTTCTTCAAATTAACAAAAACGCTTGTTAATTTTGACCCAAGAAAATTCATTCATCAGTTTATCATATGCAACACTATACTAAACTACATGCCATGTAATTCGAAACGAATCTGGCAGCATACCAAGCCATGAAATCCCTAACAAACTCCTTGTGCTCATACAACATGAAACCACAAGCTTATTTACAAAGACGTTGCTTTAGGGTTCGTAAATAAGTTTGTGAATCCAGTACTATCTACGACGGATGACAGGCTCGACTCATGTACCAAGCAGCTTTTTCCACCTCGCATACCCGAAGACGAGAAAGAAGAGTAACACGGAAAATGCTGTAATACCCCCAACAAAGGCCTCAAATATCCCATCCTTGTCGTATAAGATACAGGGGATGTTCATACCAAATATCCCAGATATCAAGGTCTCCACCGCTACCGCAAATGATGCAATGGTCAATGTCAACTGGAGCTGAATGAGTTCGTTTCGTTGGTTGTCAAGTTGTATGTTGACATAATCCTCCGTGTCATCAATATACTCCCGCACCTACATCCAATGAACACGACAAGAACATGAGCAATATTCAAGGACAGATTAACACAATAACCAATTATGCTTAACATGCACGGCTAACTGGTTTCTAAATGACAATCCTCATATACCGATGATAGTGAAATTAGTTACAACTGGGAATCCACAAGAGCTCAGGAGCAAGTGCAACCACAGAACTCAGTAGAAAATATGCAACATTTAAGAAATCTAACCTAAAATTAGTTATCTGGAACTCCATCAAAGTTGATGCAACTGCATTAAAACACAAGCTAATGGTGACAACTGATATTTAAAGATTGTTTTGTAAAAGGTTGAATTCTCCAGGAAGAGATACTTTAAAGCATGTACGTAAATTGAACTTAGAAGTCAAGTTGTTGGGTATAAAGTTATAGTAGGTCACAACAATTGGCACTTACAGATAATATCTTGTTACGGGTTCCATCCAGCTGCATAAAATATGCCTCAAGCAGCATCTCTAGATCTTCTACATCATCGTAGTCCATATTGTTACTGGTTACCAAACTCCCACTTCTGTTAGAACCAAGCCGACGAAGATGGGGTGCAGAGATTCTATTTGATGCAGAACGCCCCAACAAAGCCTCAGGCTGTTGATTCTGCATCCATTTCCTTGTTAAATATAATTGTGCCATATCTTCATTGTCATCCAACAAATGTTCAATTTCATCCCTCACCTGAAATCAGACAGACACACGCTTGTTACTCAAAAAGAAAATAGCATACAAATAAAAAGGTATCCTAAGTCCAAACCCGTTTTACAAAAACGTTTCATATCAACTTGTCAAATAGTAAAGAGTATCCACTTCTCTTTGTAGTCCTGCATAATCTGGAAACAGTCAAACCCTCAATCACATGTTTGACACAAATTCAATTCCTCTCCAATATCTAAGAATAAAAGGATTCTATCAAGCTGCAATGAGAAATGTACATCTATCAGCTAATGGTGACAATTGAATGGCATATTACAAGCGCATCACCATGTATGTATCAATTCCTAATTCATGAAACATTCTTGAAGCAGATTGTGTGGTGACACTTAATTAGGGTTTATTTATGTCAACCTGGGATTTGCTGCTTTATATTAATATTTGATAGTTTTATATTATTTAAGGTTCCAGTGCTCCAGAAACCTATTTCTTCAAAACAAACTGAAAACTCACAAAAATTATGACTCGAGAAACACTTTAACTCCAAGCAGGGTCAGGTTATTGATGCCGGAAAGGATTGAAATTAGATACAGCATAGCAAATCATCTGAACGAACAGCATAGCAACTCATCTGAACAAATATAGAGAACAATGACTCATGAGTCATGAGGTAGGATTAAGCAAACATACCTTCTGGACACGTGCAAGCAAACGGGTAAGATTGCTTTTCAAACTCCTCACAAGTTCAAGGTTTTTGGTGCTAACATTTCTAGCCAGTTCATCTAACACAGGGTAGGCTTCTCTCTCAAGTTCTGCCACACTAGAATCCAAGTATATACAGACAACTTCTAATGCAACCTCCAGAACCTGAAACTCAAATGGGAGATCACACTGCAATCCTTCAACAGCCTCGGGAACAGGTAACCATTGCCTTATAGTTGAAGCATCCATTCCATTATCTTGTTCATCAAGTGGACTTGCTTCTTGTATCCTGGATTGGCTTTTCTGAGGAAGTTGTTGCCTTAGCTGATCTGCAAATGGAAGAACCTCCTGCCGAAGAGGATCAAGCAACAAAACCTCTTCGGCTGTAACTATAGCCTTTATAAACTCTAAATTAACCACCATGGCCTTCTCCCTGGCTGCAATTGAAATGAGGAAAACATATTTATCATGGTCTACTATGGCTACACAGGTTACAATTAAAACACTAGCAACTAAAAGTTGTATTCATAGTAGTATAACTCATAAAGGCATTGTTCCAAGGAGAACGAGTGAACTAAACAATTGAGACCGGAAAGTTTCTTGTGCTGCATTTATTGCCCACCATATAACCTGCCCTAACCCGCCCCCCAATTTTCCACCTCTGGTCAAGTCCAAAAACTTAGAGGTGAGCAAAGGGGATATTTCAGGGAGTTTTCTTATACTGATATAAGTTTCAACTCGTATTAAAACCAATAATACTACAAAATATTCTATACCAATAAATCACCAACAACCAAGTCTAGAGCAACAACGTAAAAATATATACTGAAGCAACATGTGCTGAGAGCCAAGTTTTTGGCCAAGATCATGGTGTGCAGGTCAAGAATCCAAAGGTTCTAAGCCGTCACTTCAAAATTTCAAATGCAAGGTTAAGTTGCATATTTACTCACTTGAGTTGAAATTTATACAAAAATTTCACACACCCCAAAATTTGAAAAGTAATTTCCAAGTTCCAACTAAAGTAAATTTTTTTTACAAACTCCCCCAAAGGAATCAAATGCAAGCCTTAATCTTGTAATGCGCAGGTTGGCGATTGTTACCTTTGCAAAACTTTCCTAGCTACACCCTAATCTGAAACTCCACCCCCAAGGCAATGGCACTGATTCAAGAGGCAAACAAAAACAGGGCAAAGACAAAACAAAAACAATTATTACAAATTGCAATTCCAAGCCCAGAATCCCAATCTCCTTGAACTAACTTTTTCCTAGAACAAATCGACATGATAAAACTAACCCTAACCCTAATGTAGGCGCATAACCTAGTAAAATTTGCAAAACCCAGAAGAGAATTAACATATAAAGTAAGACAATTGACAAAATAAAATAAGAAAAGGGGAGGAGAAGGAGTACCAAGGATGCTGGAGGATTGGGAGAAGACAGGGCCGAGAATCCTCAAGTCCCGGGCGGGAATGGCAGCGCGTCGAATGATAGCGTTCTTATCACACTCAACGAGCTCTGATACGCCGAAGCGGTCAAACCGCATCCAAAGCCTGGCTCCTCCAGCCTTCTTCTTCCCCTTCACTCCACCGCCGGCGCCGCCAGCAACAACCGCGCTGAGACTAGTATTATTCGTATTGGTACTGTTAACATTGACACTGTTGGAGGGCGGGGGAGACCGAATCGGCTGCGGCGGAGAGGGAAAAGGGGAAGGTGGAGTGCCAATGAGCTTCTTGGGGCGGCGTCGTACGCTGCTGCTGCTGCGCTTGAAAGAGAAGGGACCCTTCCCCATTTTTCCTATGGTCCCTCTCTCTCTCTAGGATTCTCTCCCTCTCTCTCTTCCAGTTGTGTGTGACTATTTAGTATGCCATGGATCTCTCTCTTCCTCATCCTCCGCATCCGCGTGCTTCTTTCTTTTAAGTTCCACCCCTACAAACCCCGCTAACCTACACGAGACGATATTCTAAATTTCATGAAGTTTAGTTTCGCCTCACAATAAATTAATAAAAATAATTCAAATTTATCTTAAGCAATAATTGAATCGAAATTTTACAATTGAAAAAAATATATCACTAAAGTCTAGTATTAAGTGACATGAGAGATCTAGTTAATGCACAAAACAACTTTCTTAGAATGTCAAGTACCTAGATACGTAAAAAGGGAGTTCACTTTTCACCAACACTTTCCTTGCCTTTGGTAGAAAACTCCAAATGTAAACTTAAATTAGTATTAAAATATTATTATTATTTTATAAAATAATCAAAGATAATCTTTTTTTAATTTCGAATAATAACGAAAAACTGGTTGAATGTATTTGAAAATATTGAAATGTGATGTAAGGTAGAAGAACATGATTAGGTATTCATAAAAAAAATTATAACCTTTTGTATTTTTAATTAAATTTTTATTATTTTTTTGTATTTTTAATTAACTTTTATTATTTTCATTAATTTTTTAATTGTAGCTGACGTCGGCCTTGGGGCCTGAGGCTTTTTTTTTTTTTTTTTGGAGGGGGGACCATTCCCTAAGGGATTTTTCGGGGTTGGAGTGCTCTAAGGAATGTGGGATTTTCAGTCGGCTAGAGCGGTGTAAATAATAACACAATAAAATGTATTATTAAACAAGAGATGCCAATGATGTTAAACTCATTCTATATAAGTTGTTCTTGTATTCGTTTCATGTACGTTGTTCATGTTGTAGGCCTATTTGATTGAGCAATCTAGGGTTTAGAGAGAGAGAGGGGGCCGGCCACAATTAGAGAGAAGATATATTGATTTAATTGTGAGGTGTGTTTGATTCACCGCATTGTACCTTTATTTATAGTATTATGATAGATAAAAAAACTTTCGCTTTAGGATTACAGCATTTAATAGGTAATCTAATCCTAATAGAAATATAAGATATTTTCCCATATCTCTTAGGATTTACACAATTACATTCTTATTCTAAATATGACTACAACAGTTCGCGATTTTTAGACTCATGGATTCTTTGAACTTTTTACCAAATGAAATAGGAAAAAAATTGCTTATAAGTATTACAGTTTATTAGTATTCTTCTTCAATTCTAAATGAGAGAATCTAGATTTGAATCTCATAAATGACGAGTTCAATAGTAATTCAAATAAAAAATGGTGCATTTTTGCTCACCATCCTAAAATGGGAGTTCAAATCTTATGCACCTATTTTGTTTGTGGCTTTTATGTGGCCTTGTGACTGGTTGACATGTGTCGATAAACTTAACTCTTTTTAATTATGTTACTCATGAACTTAATACTTGTCAATCTATGATAAAGGTCACACATAATAAAATGGGCCGGAAGATTTTAACTCCTCAAGTGGGACTACTTATTACCATTGAATGAGTTTAAATTTTGAAATTTGTGATCAATAGGGTGGTGAACAAAAATATTTCAAAGAAAAAGAAGAGGAAAGGTTAATCTTTATATAAGGAAGGGTTATCAACTGCCACATCATCGTATTTAATGGAAATTTTGATTGATTTAACGATAACTATAAGAGATAAAATGAGAGTCAAGATAAAAGTTGTTTTTTTTTTTTTTTTTGTTTTGAAATCTACACTAAGGGGTGAAGTTGAACTAAGCCTCACAATAGATTAGCAATAATGTGCTTCAAATTTTCCTTTAGTGAGAATCAAACCTACCACTAGATTGTAGTAACTCAACCATTAAAAATTTTCGTTCCAAACTTAAATAACTTAAAAGATGTGAAACTGGAATGAGTTTTGAGATTTCAAAATTTTTAAACTTTAACTTCTTTTTTTTTCCAATCAAAAAATTCAAATTTCCCTAATTTTTAATAGTTATTTTATTATATCCCTAATTTATAAAGAAAGAAAAGATATCCTACTTAAAAGATAATTAAGTACACAAATAGATGTCTTCGAAACCTAGAAAAAAAAAAAATTACCTCAAATGGATTTATTACTATCATCGTGATGTTTTGATCTAATAATAAAATATTTGTTTAAGTTTTTAACATGACATTATATTATAAATTTAGAATGCCACGTAGCGGCGACCGTTTCATGTACATTAATCTCCCAAAACGCACCAAGATTAAAAAATGGAAAAAAAAAAAAAACACTGCCGTTATCATATTCCTTGTGTAAAAGGGAAACTATTATTACTAGGCCGGCGATTAGGTTAGGGTTACGATATAGGAAGGAAACCCTAAATACGATATAGGAAGGAAACCCAAAGACGATATAGGACAGAAACCCTAAATACGATATAAGACGGAAACCCTAATTAATTAGAATGTGACGTGTAAAGCAAGTAATAATTAGAGAAATCGTGGTCTCCTGATACATTTGAAAACTACTTTTTCTGTTTCCTATTCGAATTTGGCTTCCATATACAACTCTGCCGCCCTACTTCCCTCCCTCCCTATAAAACTCATCCAAAACCCTACTTCTTATTACAATTTACGACTCTCAGAATTGAGAATTCATGAGATTAATTTCACAGAAGAAGAAGATGGTGGCTCCTACGAGAAGAAGCTTGGAACTCATTCCCAACGAGACTGCTCGAAAGATGGCATTTCGGAAGCGAAAGAAGAGCGTTTACAAGAAGGCGGACGAGCTCTCCAAACTTTGTGACATTGATGTGGCCTTGATTGTCTACGAAGCTGACCAAAGGAAGGGGATTAGGCCAGTTCAGCCGGAGACGTGGCCGCAAGATCCAGTTGAATTCAATCGCATTCTCGGCAGGTACAAGACTTCCAAGGATGCTGCTGCCCCCGGTTTCCTAAAGAGAAGCTTCAGTTTGTCTGATTTTTATGAGGCCAAGATGAAGAAAGGTGATGACGGTGATGACGGTGATGGTGGTGATGGTGGTGATGGTGGTGATGGTGGTGATGGTGATGGTGATGGTGATGATGATGATCATGTCGATCCCAAGCTTCAAAAACCGGGCAATAAGCACATTTCCGAGAATAAGTACCCAACATGGGATGCTCGAATTGACCTATTTTCAGAAGATGAATTGATTAAACTCATTGCTTCACTCGAAGCCAAGATACAGGCATCAACACTGGAGATTGATTCCATGGAAAGATATTATGCTGTGAAACAAAATCAAAATTTATCCCGAACTCACTCAAGCTCAAGCAAAACACCGCGATGCTTGAGCCCTGCATATTTTGATGTGCAGTTGCCCCCCTCTCAGGACCTTGTAAATCCATTTATTCACGACGCATTAGGCCAAAAAGTTACTCATGAATCGGCCCAATGGGGTGGTTTTAATAAGAATCCGGTGAATTCTACTACTACTAGTACTACAACTTCAGTCATGGAATCGAAGAATCCAATTATTACTACTACTTCAGTCATGGAATTGAAGCCTCCATTGCCTGTGAAATGTCCAATGCTGCCAAGTGCGTGGATTTTGAACTCAGAATTACAGAAGAAGATTTAACCAAGGACACCATCTCGAATCCTTGGTTATCGAACTTCTAGTCTTCTACTAATTTTTGGTTTGATTGGTTTAACTCTTGATATACCGTTTGGCTATGAACAATATTCGCCTTGCTATTGTTTTGTTTAGAGATTAGCAAATTGCTTTGTAATTTTAATTTAATTAATTCATTGTTGGAAGTCGGTTACTTTGGCTATGCTTTCGTTCTTGATAAATTTATCTTGCACTCCTCCCCCTCTTATTTCACTACAAATTAAAGTCTTGCTAGGAACACAGGAAAATAAACCTAAAGGGTTCTCGAAAGGGGAAAATAAACATAATCTGCATAACTTTCATTAGGAAATTGTCGAAGGCCTGAGTCTTATCCTCCAATGGTGATCGAATATCTTGCCTCACCAATTATATGGTGTGCTTCAGTGCAAAGTGACACGTACAAATTTTCCAGCAAAGGGTTCTGTTTTAGCAGCGAACAATCTAAGAATTTAAACATGTTATGTTATTATGCATCATAAGAAGTAAGAACTAGAGTCTAGAGAGAGGACGTCGATGTATCTTATTGGTTTGAAATACAACGCGCTTTGTATAAGTTGGCTATTAAAGTTGGGTACCATGTACTGGAGTCATCCTTAAAGTTACAATTTCGATTTCTGTTGGAGTGTCAATTAAACTCTTTTTAACATATGGAAGACGTTTTGTTTGGATGTTGCCTGTCATTCCTCCGAATGTCTTTATTGATGCAGAGAAAAAGTGCTACTTAAAACTGACATTCTTGTTCTCATGAGTATACCGATTTTCTTACAATTTGTTCACTCAATTATTCCGTGTAAGAAATGAATAGATTTGTTTCTTCTTGATTTCTGCAATTTGTGTCAGTTAGTACTTAAGGCTTTTGGCAATGGCATTCCTGTCAGAAATGAAGTAAATAGATGTAATGATCTCTCTGGCTGTGAAATTGGAGCTTCATGGCCTGCTCCTCTTATGGTAGCGTAAGATAAAGCGTCACTGTATACTTGTGTCCATCCAGCAACCTGAAAAGTTACAAATTTATAAAGGATAAAAACTGCTAAGACCACAAGTAGATAGTCCGAATTTTCCACTGTTAATATATTCACGAACCGACATGTTTTTCTTCAAACCAGACTCTGTAAGGCACATTCGTTTGTAGCCCCAAGTCCTTTGCCAATCCGTTCACCAGTGTCCGTGTACTCGTTAGTGGAATAACAGAATCTTGATCTCCACTGTGGGAAACATGAAAGATGTACTTTCAAGTACAATTTCTAAAAGACTAAGATTATCAGAGATGGCAAGAGTTTTGATTTGTACAACGGTGAGACTCATCACCTGTAAATTAAAACCCGAATTCCAGACTCGACAAGGTCACCTAAAACTGGAAGCATCGGTATTTCCAGGTTTTTCATGTCATACACCTCCGCTGTAAAAGAGGATAATCAAATTTAGAAGCACAGTAAACAGAAAAGACTTGCTGCACAAGGAATATTTCTTCGATCTTTGAATAGTTTGGAATATAATCGGAATTCTTTCATGTTTTGATTCATCTTTGGAACCTACTACGTTTACGTGCATCAGTGATTCAAATGAGATGAGATGATTACTTGCTGCAAGTTGTCCAATTTGTGACTCGGGCATGAAGCGCCTCCTGTACATCTGGTCGGTTTAAGTATGTAACTGTTTCATCTCCGATACAGACATCTATCTTCACTGTTTTTCGCTGCAGATGTGATCAGTGAGTTGGAAGTTTGTATATTAACGTAGAGAATTTGAAAGAAATGAAAGGAGAAAATACCAAGGCTTACCAGTTGGAAAGATTGAGCTTCAACGGATGATAAACAGACATCGAGAGTAACGTCATATTGGTTGATCAAATGTCTAGGGACTTCTCTTTCAACTTGGTTCGCTACTGCATCACAAGCAGGGATAAGTGGACCACCACGAATTACCGCCTGTCTAATAATTTCAGAATAGTTGCAGACTGAAGTCAAATTTTTGAAGGTCGCATCCGATATTAATCCATGTGACCACCAGTATTCTGCTGGTGCGTTGATATCAGAATTGAATTCGAAAAGAGGATTGCCAATCTGCAAGCAAAAAAAGCTCAAGCGTGACATCTTAGTCGAAAACATCAACTCCAAAGTTACTTCACTTTTTAGATTCTCGTTTGTTTACTGCTATTGCTTTCAGATTGAACTTCAGTTTTGATTGGATAATGAGTTGTGCAAGCTGTGGAACATAGTGGCCTGGCAGTGACAAAATGGAATTTTTTAGAAGCGCGTCGTAAGTTTGTACCTTTCGAGTTTTCTAATTGGTCGTTAGTGATAGAAATGATGGTTTTACAAGTAAATGATGTTACCTGCATAGCTCTGTCCTGTGATAAACAAATCCCTATTTTTATACTCGGGGAATTCGTCGAACCAGCGCTGAAGGAACTTGAGATTATCTCGTGCTAAAAAGAAGAGAATCGGAACATGATCAGAATGTACGTGTTTACTATTTTCGGGTTATATTTTGTTGGTTGAATGAGGCTTGAGAAAGTCATATGAAGCGAAAACCTGTGATATCGTCGTTCACAAAGCCATAGAATGATTGTTTGCTGAGTAGGAGATGCCTACTCCTGCTGGTGACTCCAAGTATAGCATATTTGCTTCTGCAAAAATTATATAAACGAGAGAAAATCCATCATAATTAGTATCAATGTTACGTGAATAATTGGGAGCAGAATCTAATTAACAACGAATGTGACACAATTGTGATCACTTAAAGACTAATTTAATGGTTTACCTACCTCTATTCCAACTAAAATCGTTCTTGAGTAAAATGTCTCCGCTTGGTTGAAAAGGTCCGTTCTCGTTGAAAGCTCTAACTCCAATAGATGAACAACCCGGACCTTCAATTAAAAGTCACAAAGCTCAATTATTTGGTTCATAATTGTAATACGTAACATGCATTCAATAATGTATAAAGTGTTGCAAACGCAAGCGTCACTAAGTTGGCTGAAACAGTATGACTAACAAAAACTAATGCGTAAAATATTTCCGGTAGGGATTATATTACTCGTTACTGGATTTCGATGGAAGCTCACCTCCATTGAGCCAAAGAACAAGAGGCTTGGAAGCAGGATCAATTTGTGCTTCAACAAAGTAGTAAAAAAGAGATCTCTCTTGCTTTTCATCCACAGTTACATATCCTGCATATTGCTGGAAGCTGACTTGTGGTTGACCTGGCAACCTTGTGATTTTATCAGCTTCTTGGAGGGAGTTTGCCGTGGAAAACACTTGGATGACAGTTGCAAAGACTGCGGCGGCGACGACGATACTCCCTCGTGGAGGCTGCATCATGAGAGAGAGCCGGGGGGGGGGGGGGGGGAGTTCAATATGAATTGTGGTGTGGGATGGTACAAGTATATAAACATCTTTTCTCGATTTTATCTGGTACCAGCTAGCTAAGTTGTGTAAGACAAATTGTCCAGGAGCTCATGTATTCAACATATTGTATTGTTCTGACGTGGGTTATTAAGTTCAAAAGTATATATTGACTAATTGTCTATTTACGGAACAACTTGTTATGATACCAGTTCATAAATGTTCATGAGTACAACTTGCTCTTGCAAGAAAGGTACTCTACTTTGAGATTCTGAGCGAGTGTTATGCATATATATAGAGATCGGATGTCTTGAGTTTGATGCATAATTTTAATGTTTCTTAGAACACAATGTTTGATGCATGTAACAAAACTGCTACACCATTTGCCTATTTAATTGTCAATTTGTCACGATGAAGTTTCAATGTTTTTTAAAACACAGTGTTCGTCAATTTCTTTGAACTCAATTAGATTCCCAAATATTTCTAATTTGGCTAATATTTTGCAACGATGATCTATGAGGTGCAACTTGAAAAATAGACAGTTTGAATCATTGAAGTTCAATGTGGTGTGGGCCATACAAACAATCTCCATTTTTTGAAAAAAAAGGGGATCCCAAAACCCTGAATACTATACTAGTGTGAGTTTAATATGTTGGTACCCCACTCACGAGTTTGTACTTATGAATGCGTTTCAACTTTTCGCACTAACGAAGGAGTGTGATTTTTGTATAGTTCAATATATTAGTATCACGGGTAAACTATCGGTTTACCCCCTGAACTTTCACCTCACTTTCGATTTCCCCCCTAAACTTTTCTATTGGAAAATTAAAGACTCAAACTAATTTTTTTAGCCAATTTGCCCCCTACCGTTAGTTTTTCATATATTCCATCCATATTTCCGTTAAGTGAGACCATGTGCACAACATGTGAGGATAATTAAGTCATTTCACTCTTAAAAATGATTAAAAACTGAAAATAAATAATAATAAAAAACTTCCCTCTATTTTTTCCCGCTAATTCCTATCCTCAATTTTATTTTTCCCTCTCATTCATATGCATGAGAAATGACATATGGTGTTATTGTCTTCATAAGTAGATAAGTTAATCTTTTTCTTGAAGCATGTACTACCATTTTTATTTTCTCTAACAAATTAATAATTTGACAAATGCTCATGGTGTTATTGTCTCCAAAGCAGTACATTAATATAAGAAACATGTCCATAAAAAAGACTAGGGTTTCTTGTATTAATGCACTGCTTTGGAGACAATAACATCATTAGCATTTGTCAAATTATTAATTTGTTAGAGAAAATAAAAATGGTAGACAATAACACCATATGTCATTTCTCATGCATAGGAATGAGAGGGAAAAATAAAATCGAGGATAGGAATTAGCGGGAAAAAATAGAGGGAAAGTTTTGTTTTTTTTAATTTTCAGTTTTTTAATCATTTTTAAGAGTGAAATGACTTAACTACCCTCACATGTTGTGCACATGGTTTCACTTAACGGAAATATGGATGGAATATATGAAAAACTAATGGTAGGGGGCAAATTGGCTAAAAAAAATAGTTTGAGTCCTTAATTTTCCAATATAAAAGTTCAGGAGGGAAATCGAAAGTGAGGTAAAAGTTCAGGGGGTAAACCGACAGTTAACGCTTAGTATCACATTCATATTTTTTGACATAATATGAAAGTAAATATTGTGTGTCGTTTCATGAATAAATAAATAAATAAGAATTTGGGTCCTTGTTTCTCCCACTCTGTTTTTTATTTGAAATTTACAATGTCAAAGAAAATGACCAAAAAAATATGATAGAAAGTAGATTGACTTGGTGTTGTGTTGTCCGCAATTTCATGTTTTGCTGTTTTCTCGTGTGGCAATGACGGCAGATTCATTTGTCTTTGCGGATAAATTTTTCGAAGTACTCGAAGACAAGGTTAAGTGGACAAGGACATAGAAATATACGTTAGAAGTGTGACATGTTCATTGGCAGACCCATGTAGAGACTTGGTTGGTCCTGGAACCCTCCAAATGCTGAAAAGAAAAACAAATGTGAAGGTCGTCCGGAGCCCTTCAAATGTCTGGTCGGGATCTTTCTATGCTCATAAAGTATTGGGTTAATATCAATTTACTACCATGAAATTTTGTGGTTTTCAACATTTAGTATATGAAGTTTTTTTCATTCCAGATTCATACCTCAAGTCTTATTTTGGGACAGTTTCATACTTCCGTTAAGTTTTCCGTTAGAACTTCTGTTAACCGATTAAGTGACACCTAAATGACAATAACTGAACGTCACGTGTCAATATAGGCACATTTCAATATTAAAAAATTAAAAATAAAATAAAATCCCCACCCGTATTCTACCTCCCCCAATCCCCTCCCTTCCTTCTTCCCTCTGCAACCCGCACCCTCTCCCCCAAAACCAGTCTCCCCAAGCTCACTCCAACCACCAAAACTAGTCTCCCCCAACCTTCCTTCTTCCCTCTACAACCTGCACCCTCTCCCCTGACCTTCTTTCACCACCAAAACCAGTCTCCCTCAACCCGCACCCTCCCTTCCTTCTTCCCTCAGATCCAACCCCGACGAGTCCATGTGCGACCCGGAGAGCTCTAACCTTCCTTCTTCCCTCCGTAAAAGACGTCCCCTAGAGCTCTAACCCCGACGAGTCCATGTGCGACCCCGAGCTCAACAAGGCCGTCGATGACTCCATGGCGAGCCAGAGGTCTCCTTCGTCGAAGCCGATGGCAAGACCAGCGCTGACTATTAATTCGACTCCTACTCTCACTTCGGTAAAGAGAAAAAAGTTTACTTTCTTCAATTCTCTATTTTTTGCTTCTGGGTTTTTGTTTGGATGATCTGAAAAATTACATAGTGGGATTGGAAAATGGGAGTTTTTTAGCTTTCGTGATTGGGTTTTTGGTGTGGTTTTCGCAAGTTCCGAACTTGGTTGCATTTTATTTTGGAAGTTAGACTTTTTTGCTGGTTTTCGTTTGATTGGGAGCGTTGCTTTAAGGTGCAATGGAAGCAAGTAATAGAATGGTCTCAAATTGTTTACGTTTCGTTTTGGATCTGAGGGAAGAAGGAAGGGAGGGTGCGGGTTGGGGGAGACTGGTTTTGGTGGTTGGAGTGAGCTTGGGGGAGGTAGAAGACGGGTTGGGATTTTATTTTATTTTTGCACTTTTTTTATTTTTTAATATTGAAGTGGGTCTATATTGACACGTGACGCTCAGTTCTAACGGAAAACTTAACGGATGTATGAAACACCACAAAACTTCAGAGTAGTAAACTGAGATTAACCCTAAAGTATTTGACGAAATGTTTTATAAAAATATCTTGACAACATTTGACGAGTCGTGTTGACATCACTTAGCATGGGGTCTTGACATCACTCAGCATATTACTTGACATTTGTCGACATGAATGACGATAAACTCAAATATTCTCATAAAAAATTTTGCGCTTTGTGCACACAATTTTTGTCTGAATAAAACTTGGGAACATTGCACACATATAATTTATCGCCTTGGCTAGGCCTTTGTTTATTTGCTTCTCTTTTTCCTCTTGTCGGATTCAATGTCATTTAACTTACTCGTCGAAACACCGCCTTAACAAAAACCACCTAAAGATATTAGCTTTGCGTTGAACGTCATGGTGGCTACGAGGCCTTTCTAGCAACAGAAACAATGAATGAATGAATGGCCTTAGCAACACGTGTTTTCGTCAAGATTGGAACCGAGAAAATACATTGCTATATGGCACATTAAAGTCAGTGAAACTAAGAATAATCGAAAACCCGAATGCAAGTCCAAGCCCCAAGCTTAGATAGAATCCACCATCATCAAGTAAATGACCTGCTTTGTGTTTCTCATTAGATAGAAGTTAGAACCTATTGATGGCATGGCCTCATTTGTACTACAACGATCTTCCAATGGAGCTTCACAAAGTTTATTGCCAGCATAACTGGACAGATCAAAGCTTTGAAGTTTAATGCTTTTTGGCATCTGCGCTATCATATTGTTATAGGACAAATTCAAATAATGGAGAAATGTCAAATTCGAGATGCTTGGAGATATTTCACCAGAAAGTTGGTTCTCGTAGTAATCAAGTGATTCTAATGATCCCATATCATTGATCTTGGAAGGGATTCTTCCCGTGTGAAGATTATTGGATAAGTTCATCGATTGCAAACAAATGAGGCTGGTCAGCTCTTTAGGAATTTCTTCAAATATCATGTTGCTTGAAATGTCCAAGCTCATTATCAAACCAAGCACTATGTTATATTTCACTTCTCTAGCTTTGGTTCCCAAAAATGCATTCTCTATGTAGATTCGATACTGGTATCTCCTTCGCTTGAAAAGGTAGTGGCCATGGATGTCATATTTTGGAAACATCTTGGTATCGTCTTCAAGGTCCAAAATTTGGAGAATTGTGAGACTACAGAGTTCCTCAGAAATGGCACTATGAAGCTCATTTGCACAAAGGCTAAGAACTACCAAATGTGGAAGGCTTGGGCCAATCCAAATTGGAATGCTTCCAACCTAGATTTTCTTTACTTAGTGAATGGCAATGCGAGAGACGCGTAGTAATCGGAGAAATAAAACTACTCCGATAAGGTTATCTGAAATATGTGTTTTGTGTGATGAATGAATAGTCATCCAGAAGACAAATTATGTATCTGTTAAGATTCTTTGAAATACGTGTTCTCTGAAATACTCGTAAGACTACGGGTATATACGCCATACGATTTCTCATGGACGGTTCAGATTCAAATAATGCAAGAGAATACTAATAATGGTCCAGTGTCACCAACAACTACTAGTACCGGTAAACAGGTCGAATTCAGTCGGAGACGTGGCCGCAAGATCCAGTTGAATTCAATCACATTCTCGGCAGGTACAAGGCTTCCAAGGATGCTGCTGCCCCCAGTTTCCTAAAGAGAAGCTTTCGTTTGTCTGATTTTTATGAGGC